TTTTTTTTGTATATTTTTATTAGATTTTTGTATTTTTGAAGAATACATGCTTAAAATTTCAAATTATTTGGATTCGTATAAAAATTATTAAAATTCAAATACGAAATGAAGACGTGACCGTCAGATCAACCCAAATTGAATCTTGGCCGTTGAGCTCATATGAGCTAGTGGGCTAATCTCAGTATTTTCTTATATATATATATATATATATAAAATTCTTCCAAAGCCTATAGGCAAAAATGAATAGTGATTTTGCTTACCCTCATCACCGTCCAAATTTTATCGCGCAGTCACGATTGTTTGATAGTGTTTTGTTTTTCTTTTTTTTCTACAAATCGAAATAACCTGAAATTTGGAGGGCTTGTACATCTTATTGGTACGCATCTAATAAAAATAAAAAAAAAATTATCCTTGAAAAAAAACATTGACCAAAATACCCCCGAAACTTTTCGGAGGTATTTTGGTCAATTTTTTTCATGTAAAATATTTTTTTTATATTTTTCGAAGATTCCCCTATTTTTTATGAATACACGCTCTAAATTCCAGGTCATTTCAATTTGTTGAAAAAAAAATGAAAAATGAAGCACTACCGGACAAATAAGCCTTGTTCTATGGAAGTTTTTTTCCACCATTAGTGTCACATCATGACACCTGCCACCTGAGCCTCCGTGGTTTCTCTTTTCGTTTTATGATGTTTTAAGCTGTTTTTGGGATTTATATGTGAATGTATTATTGAAGAACAGATATGAATTTACAACAAGATCAAATTGATTTTCTTTATTCATTTAGCCAGAAATATTTGTGTTTCATGTTGGAATTATGTCTTTGAGTGGATACTTTGGGTGCCACACCTTCTAGATACTTACAGTTGGAGGGAACCATGGCACTTTTCTAACTTGTGGAACACCTACTCAAGATAGTTGGCTAAGACAAAGGTTCTTGAGTTTTATGAGGGATCTGGTGTTGTTATGGTTTCATTGTTTTCTAGTGGCGCTAGAAATAAACATCAAAATGTTCCTGCACTTTAAATGTGCATTACACTGGATTGCTGCCCAAACAATTAAGCTTTGGTTTCTACTTTAGAGCAATTTGACATTTTCTTTTTTAGTGTCATGCAAAGGGCTGCTCATTCAAAATTTGATATTAACGGGAATTTATTGCATGTGTGGTATTTACTCAAACAAACTTAAGGGTTAGTTCTGAAATGTTATATGGCTATCACAAAAAATGGTAATAAAAAGGGGCAATTGCGCAATTATGTATTTGCTTGTTGACAACTTCAAGACTATGTTTACTATGTTTATGGTTGGCATTCGTGCATATGCAAATCGTAGTTTGAGACATGTCTAGTCTTGTCGAAATTTTGTGGAAGCCATTACAGCCCTGGTAACATAAATAGTCTTGTGAAAAATACAAAGAGAATTGTGGAGATGTGATAAGGCCCTGGTTACTTCCCCAAATTTCATGTGAAGAAGGATATTAGCTTAGCAAATGGATCTTGTTGATAATTTTTCCAAAATTTATAAAATAATCGCTTCCAGCATATTAGCTGAATGAATTCGTTTGTCTTTATTTGCAAACCTTCGGACCATGATTCGACATCTTTCTCGTTTTATTGTTCCATTCAGGGGTCTTTATTCATTATAAAAAACATGAATTGGATGTTTCAAATAGTAGGATTGTGATGGAGTTGAAATTTAGTGTCATTCCAGGCGTATTTCTGACTTTGACACTGCCATTCCTTGATTGGCCTGGCTGGAATACTACTTCTATAATGGAATTTTCCCATGTTCCTGTTCCTTTCTCTTGTACATGTTTTCAGTGGTAAAAATTCAATCTATAGGGTCATCCTCCCATATGAGTTCTTTTTTTTTTTTCTCTAATGGTTATTTTAAGCATAAATTCAACTAGAAGCTCATTTTGCATGATAGTGGACAAATAGCTTTTACGGTCTTCAATTCATTGTTTTACCTGATAAAAGAATTGTTAAATGGTGCAGCATTTATCTGATGGTGATATTGAGGCGTTGGTTTCAGATGAAGTTTTCCAGCCGCAAGTTATTTGGTCTCTTGGTGATTTGCAGGTAAGAACTATTATATGTAATTTTTCATTAGTTTATGTAGGAGCATATTTTCATCAATAGATAGGATCACAAATTTTAATTCAGGTTTGTCTTTTTTTTTTTGTTTTGATAAAAAAAATTCGTCTTTGTCTTATGACTAGTGCAATATTTGATACCAGATATATCTCAAACTTGCAGGTCACTTGTGGTACTTCGGGCCTCTCAACAGGAACTGTAAAACTGATTGGAGCTGATGGCACTGAGCATATTGCATGTGCGGTTGGAACAGGTCCAGTTGATGCAGCCTACAAAGCCATTGATAGCATTGTTAAGGTACAACCTTCATAATTAGTTATATGTACAATCATGTTTGGATTCTTGTACTATCTCAATTCCCGGAAATTTCAACACCAAAGAAAGATTAAAGAGATGGTGGGCTTCGGATAATGCTCAACCTTGAGTCACTGAACTGATCCCTATCCATGGTTGATTTGATTCATCCACTGAATTCAAAGCCTTGAAACCTGGAAAAGTAGATCTTAAAAGAATGAAACTCTCAAAGGAATATAACTTTGAAAGGGAAGATTAGAGAAACCTACCAAACTCCACATGTTGGATAAGGTCGAATCAATCAGTGGAGCGGGAAGAAAGGAGATTCATTAGATTCAGGATAACTTCCTGCCTTAGTCACCTTCGAAGACTAAAGATTTCTGGATATTCTGTTAGTTCGTTGTTGATATCTTTATTTCCTTTTGGGTGGCTTTCCTGCTTCCCAGGGAATTATTTTGCGATTTATACTTGAAGGCAGCAACGTGGTGTTGCATTGCTTCATCTTTATTCCGTCTCTCTTGATTTTACATGCTTACCAAGTTAAATTGTCAAACATGTTCCTTCTCATAGTGCTATTTATATTATTTTGTTCAATTTATGCAATGAGTTGCTTCTGTGAGAACTGTCTCTGTTTCAAGTGGCCAGCTTGTCAAATTTCAAATCTCTTGCTAGTCATAAGTTGTAGCGTCTAACATATTAAAAATGCATCGACTTTAACTTTCATTATTTATTTTTCTTGGACAGTTGATGTACAGGCTACTGAGTTTTGTTGCTAGATATTGCTCATTTTCTCAAGGAAAAAATTTATATAAGGTTGCAACCTTAAAATGTAGAATTAAGGATGCACTTCAAAAATCCAGCATAAAATGTTGTTTTGAGGTTGGAAAACACCCTCTAATTGATCATCTCGACATCGAGATGTATGAATATGAAAAGAAAAAAAGATTTTGAGTCCTAAAAATAGTGTATCTTACAAAACATTAACCATTTTTGGACTGTAAGATTTTATAATTAAAGATGAAAATAGATTCTCAAGTCATCCTAAAAATTTTTGACACCAAAATTATATTTATAATAAAATTTGGAGGTGCGCCTTAATTTGAATGTTTAAGGTTGCAACCTTATACAAACCACACCCTTTTCTCAATAGCTTCAGATAGAGCAACTGCTCAGTGAAAATGAATGTTTTTGTTCTGAACTTTCATGTTTTCATCATATGTAGGTCTCAGTAACTCTTTTGGAGTACTCCATGAATGCCGTTACTGAGGGCATTGATGCCATAGCCCACACACGAGTCATCATACGCCCCGAACACGGCCACCATACATCAACCCATGCACTCACTGGAGAAACCCTACATCGAACTTTTAGGTTTTACCATTAATAAACTCTTTTGTAATATCTTTGTGGATTTGTTCACCATTGTACAATGGATTATTGTCATCCAAAGGGCATCCACCAGAAGTTCCTCTTGATGGGTAGTCCATATCAACATTGATGGCCCAGTGGAGCATTAATCACAGGTATCGTTAAGTCTCACTTCCATTGTCGGGAACAAGTGGTGGTGCCCTTTTGGATTATGATACATCCATTCTGGGTATCTTGGTCTCACTCTTTTTGTCAAATTCAGTGGAACTGGGGCAGGAATGGATATTGTCGCATCAAGTGTGCGTGCTTATGTAAGTGCCCTCAACAAGATGCTGAGCTTCAGGACCATATCGACAAGAAAGGAGACTGTCGAGGGATGACAAGTCTCGGCTTGAAATTGAGTAGGTTTGGATTCGGTTTGCTCTTAATTTACAAAAATCAAATTTTGATCGTGGAACCCCAATAAACAATCGACACCATTTTCGTGTGATGCGAGATACTGTTGTTTATTCATGTAGATTAGAAAAATCGTTTAAAGGGAACTTCCAGTTATATTGCTGGTGTACATCAAGCTAGTGAGTTATTTATGGGGAAAAAAGATGCATAATGTGTTCCTTTGATTTGATTAAAAAATATGGACATCAGAGAGAGAGAGAGAGAGAGAGAGAGAGAGAGAGAGTATTCAGAAAAAGAAAGGGGAAAAGGTAACTCTGAAAAGGCATTGAAACAATGAAACTAGTCCAAAAACTGGAAAAAACTAGAAGGGAAAAGTTTATATAGAGTTGAGGCTCTAAACAATCAAATTTGAACCTATCTCAAAAATTTCACAAGAAGAGGTTGTTTTGATGTTCAAATTCTTTAAATTGATCATCTCGACATCAAGAAGCATGGCCACAAGAAAAAAATGGATTTCAAGTGGGAAATAGTGTATTTTGTAACGCATTTTTTGACCGTCGATTTACAAGATTTTCAAATTTTCATAGATCTGTGGATTTACACTATTTCTGAAGCTTTATATTTTATAAATAAATATAAAAATATATTTCAAGGCTATCACAAAGATTTCAAATATTAAAACCACATTTCTCGATACTATTTGAAGGTAGGCTCTAATTTGATTGTTTAGAGCCTAGGCGCTATACAAACTGCACCCAAACTGGAATCCCTTTCTAGAGTCCTCAGAGATGGAGAAAATAAAAGAGAAGTCACGGAGCCAGAGAGAGATAGAGAGTGAGAAAGAGTATTCCGAAAAGGGAAGGAAAAAAAGGAAGTATGAAAAAGAGAGAGATAGAGAGTGAGAAAGAGTATTCCGAAAAGGGAAGGAAAAAAAGGAAGTATGAAAAGACATTGAAACTAGAGTCCAAAAACTAGCAGAACCAGAATCCTTGTCTAGAATCCTCATAGAGATAAGAAGAAACAAAAGAGAACTCCAGAACTTGAATATCTTTCTAGATTTTATATGCATATGCGACAGTCGCAGGGCAAACCCGAGTTTGTTATGCTAATCGATTTCTTTGAGCCTCATCCTTCTTATTTGGGATCAACTAAACTCGATCCTTTGTAATTTATGGTTAACTATTGTAGGACAAAGCCCTTGTTCCTTGTACACAGAAACACTTGGTTCTCTTTAGTGATTGAAAGATTGGATCCTTGCTCAAGACTTGTCAGAGTAGGGTTGGTTGGCACCTTCCCGAGTATGGATGCAGAACTTTGGGACTTGCCCCGAGTCACCTTCTCAGCCTTAAATGTTTGATTAAAAATCACTAGTCCAATTATAGCTAAATCTAATTCTGATTAGTACAAATCTTTCGTGAATCATTCATCTCATAGAGGTCCAGTTGTTGGCATTTGAGGCTGTGAGCAAAAACCTTGATTCTGTGGATTAGTTGCTCACGAATGCTAAGGGTACGTTTGCTATGTGTGAAAATATTTTTGTGAAAGTATTTTTTAGTTGAAAATTTTATGTAACTAGGTGTGTGAATTTTTTCACATCAATTGGCTGTCAATTGCTGTAAACAAATATGTTGGGATTAATTGGTATAAAAAATCTCTCATATCTAATTACATGAGATAGTTTTTTAAGTGAAAGTATTTTTGCGAAAGTATTTTCACGTGTACCACTCTCAATAGTCATGAGCAGCTAGTCTACGGTGTCAAGGCTTGTGTTCATGGCCTCAAATCCCAATCAATGTACTCATAGTAGTGAGGACAAATGGCGATATACATGAGCAAAAATATCTCAGGTTCATCGGTATGTGACAGTATAATTTTAAAGTAGAATCGGTTATCTCAACCGTCCATCACATATAGTTTATCAAATGGGGTTTATTTGCCGTTATACCACCTGTTTATATCATGCAATATTCATTAATATGACCTAATTTAGAGCCCAACCTTATATAAACCTAATTCATCGAAAATCACAATTCAAGTGTTGAAAAACCTTTACATTGATCATCTCAGCTTGAACATATTAGTTGTGAAAAAAAATTATGATTTTTAAGTTGTAAAAATTATATATAATGTAACAAATTATTTAGACCATCTATTTTGCCTTAAAAATAAGTGTTCATGTATCCGTAAGATCTACACCATTTTTTGAGTTTCAAATTCTATTGTCAGTATTGAAAATTGATTTAGATCCATCATGGAGATTTCCATTGCCGAAAGTGCCTCAAATCCTCACCTGAAAAGCACTTTCGGTAATGGAAACAATGCTGACAATAGAATTTGAAACTCAAAAAATTGAAACTCAAAAAATGGTGTAGATCATAATATTACAATTTTTAGAGTTTCAAATCCTATTTTTTTTTCGCAATTAATATATTCAAGCTTGGGTGAACGATGTAAATAAAGTTCGGCTTTACTTATTTTGATAGGGGTGAACCAGTTTCCATATATGTGTCGACCATTTAGTAGATGCGGTGGAATTCTTTTCAAGATAGGAAAGGAGTGCAGAATTGTGGGCCACCGAGACCATAGTCTTTTCAAAGTTTTGTAGCTTCGTTCAACGCGTCAAAACAAAAAGCAAAGACCCACCACTTCCCTCCTTTGAGGAACAGGTGCTACTATAAAACCTCCTCCTTTCTTTCTTTTTAGGGAATATATACCTACTCATGCTCCTTTGGCCTACCTTTGCCTATGCCTATGTATAAATATGTGGATGTTAATGCTTAGAATGTTTAAATGATTTTTTTTTTTTTGACAATAATGTTTAAATGACTTTTTAAGGTCTTGTCTCCTGTCAGTTTCACAGTTAGCAAGTTGGGCACTAATACTATATAAGTGAACCAAAATATCGATAATAATTTGTTTTTATTTCAAAAAGTTGGAAGGAAAAATCTGGTGAAAAATACAGATTGCCAAAAATTAACAATATAGGATAGGTGTGGTTTCTATAAGGTTGGATTTGGCTAAAAAAAACGAAGTGAAAGAATCGGATATGCAAAGATGGCTTAATATAAGATTATGATTTACAATTACTGTATAGATATATTAAAGCCATTGAACAATAATTTTATAGCCTTACCTACTGTCATTAGAGTAATATTTGACAATTTGTTGTTTAAAATTTCAATAAATCCAATAACAACATCCAAAGTGGTATGTTGTATACACCAATAAATATAAAATATAAAATAAAAATATGAAATTACTCAAACTTCTCTATGCATAGAGAAAACAACAAAATGCTTAAACAAATTCGAATGTCATGCTGATTTCCTAGATGCCTAAATCTTTAGTATAATTGAATCTCTCGCTTGCTCTTTATAAAGATGCTTTGGGTTTGAAGAAAAAAACGATTTTACATTGGGTTATTCTTCTTCGAACTCTACCTATTATTTTGAGAAATACAATCGTTTTGATATCTTATTTTTTGGGGAATAAATTGCTTGTGTTTTTTTGTACATTTTTTTAAGGAAACTTAATGGTGAAATTTTTATGGAATATTTTGTTAAATCACGATTCTTGATTTATTCCCATAGTTAATGTGCTTATCTTTAAACCAAAATTCAATAACATTAAGTCAATTCAAAAAAATAATTTTTTTGGTAAAAAGAAAAAATATGGATTTACATCAGTTCCGTTAAAAAAATATAAATTTTTTAAGATTTTTTGAAAAACTCGGAGTTCTTAACATATTTTAAAAAAACAGAGATTTTTTTGAAAAAATATTATTTTAAATGGAGACTTGCTAACTATGGTCAGTTTAGGAGATCATCTTTTTAAGGTTCTGTTACACGTAACCAGCATGGGATACTGATGCCTCTTCAAAGCATATTGTCAAAATAGAGGGCGATTGATCCAGATAAAACTGATTTGACTTCCAGTTGAACTGAAAGAGATTTTAAAATATAAAAGAATGTAAAATATTTTAAAATTATATAAATATCAAAAGATCTTGCCCAACTTTGTGTTGCCGGTCGAACTAGTCGAAACTGGCTGGTCAGATCGATCAAAATCGGTCAAACACTAGTTTTGACTATAGTTAGCAAGTCAGAAAATAACAATATAGGATAGGTGTGGTTTCTATAAGGTTGCAACCTTAAACAATCCAATTAAAGCGCACTTCCAAATTTTATCATAGCATGTAATATTGGTGTAAAAAATTCTTAGGATTATCTAAAAATCTATTTTCACATGTAATTATAAAATTTTAAACTCCAAAAATGGTTAAAATCAAGTACATCTATAAACATAATTTTTTTTTGAAAATAGACAGTCTCGATAATGTGTTGCAAGATGCACTATTTTTGAGACTCAAAATCTTTATTTATTTATTTTTATATCCATATATCTTGACATTGAGATGATCAATTAGAGGGCTTTTCAACATTAAAAACAATATTTTCCAATTGATTTTTGAGATGCAACTTTAATTATATATTCTAAGGTTGCAACCTAATATAAACTTTTACAACAATATATTGAAAAATAAGAAATATTGGTTGTAAATCGGTTTTGTTTCATATGAAGTTTTATTAAAGAGATGAACAATTAATAACTTACAAAAGAGGATCATATAAGAGCTGGTTATTCTTCTTTCTAGTTAAGAAGACATAATGATCATCATATGTTTGCATTAACAGATGGAAGAAGAGTGACATTAGTGGGTGTCCAAGAACTAGGTGGTGGAACTTGGAAATGGAGAAAACAAACTTATTTAGAAAAAAAATTGATGAAAGAAAGAAAATGGAATTCTAAAACTGAAATTAATTTTGTATAAAATGAAATGGCTTAGTGTATTAAGAAAGCGGCAAAAGAAGTTTTAAGAGAGCCAAGAGGGAAAAGACTTTTAAAGGAAACCTTGTGGTGGAATGATCAGGTTCAAAAGGCTATTAGAGAAAAATGATTATATTACAATGCCAATGAAAGATAAAATTCAAAATGAATACATTCGAGGGAATACAAAGATAGCTCCAATAGGCCAAAAAATGAGGGAAAATAGACTTATATAGTCAGATCATGTGCAATATCGATCTAGAATAATATCGGTTATGAAAGGTGATTTGGTTCCAGTAGAAGGCTCTAAAAGGGTAGAGGGAAGTCCAAGGATATGGATGGAAGTAATGAGAAAAGATGATATGGAGCATGATGGAAAAGATATGGATCATGGATGGTTCATGTCCTTTGGTTTTTGCTAATTTTCTAAAGATTGTATACAACGAGACTGTTGAATGTAATGAAGGTCACATAACCAAGTCGTCAGATGCAAAATTGAATGGCTACATAAATTCTAAGAAAAATTTTCCAAACTTACAAACTTGGTTGGCAGCATACTTATGAAGCCTGGACTAAACTGGTTGATCCAACTAGTAAGACAATTGACCGATGCCTTGTCCAGTTTAAAAAAATAGATTAGTCACATACTTGTTAAATTCAAATTTTGATTAGTTTTTGTCGGTCGGACTAATTTTGATAAAACAAAACCCCTCACCTATTCATTAACCGGTCTGATCATGATAACATTGGTTAGTAGTACACCCCCTAGCCAGAACAAGGTACAGATTTGCTGGCTTATGCTACATAAGCATGAGATCAGCATTAATAGCAACAAGCATTTATTCCCCAAAAAGTAAACACCCTTGCACACCATTAAAAGGTGCTGATTTGCTAAGCTTATGCTACACCAATTGTGCCTTCATGAAAAAGTTATGTACAAGGAGAAAGCACGTGCCAAAATCATAGGACAAAATCCCAAAACCAAAAAAGAGGAGTCACTCAAGAAGGGCAACATGGTGGGTTGGCCCTTAAATGGTAAAAACACATCATTTTCCATGGCTTCAAGAATATGAATCTTTTTGCCTTCCATCTTCACTCATTACTCTTAAGAATAATTTTCCATGGGATGGAAGCCACTGTACACTTGCTCCAGCTAGAAAAATAGTGATTTAGGATTCTTTTTTATTATTATTATTATTTTCGGATCACATTCAAAACTCTGAATAAATATTTTTAAAAGATAAAGATGAATCTCATCTCTGGCTGTCCAAAAATAGGAGGATCGTCTTTGTTCAATCTAAGACATTATTTTCAATTAAGTGTAACCTCAAGACATTATTTTTTCAAGCACATGTATTGTGCATAAGGTTTTATATTTGGATGGGATTTCATTTTATATTTGGATGGGATTTCTATGAGTCCACCGACTCATATGCACACGTCTACAATTCACCTTAAAGATGGATTTTTAATCCCAATTTTAGGGATTCATCATTTAAGCCAAGCTGCATAAATATTAAAATAAATAAATTAAACTTTAAAATGTACATTTTGGAGATGTTTTTGGCACTGTTCATATCTAATTTGACCCCGTGTGCCTTAAGCCTTAAGCAACATCCATCTTTAAGATGAGCGTTAAAAAGTCGGCAGGCTCTTGCACCCACTGACCCATGGAACACTTTTCTGTTGTATTTATTTAATTATTTATTTTGTGATTGGTGGCTAGGTTGAGGATGTTATGTTTCAAAATTTGGTGCTGGGAACTATTTTTAGACAAGGTTTTACCTGATGGAGTAAATGGACAGTATGATTCTTGAGAGCTAGGGGTGGCAATAGATCCAACCAAACCCGGGATCCGACAGGTAGATCTAACCTTGGGTCTGGGTGTGGGTCCAAATTTTAGAACCCAAAGTCGGGTGTAGGTCCGAAAGTTAGACCTGAATACTATTCGGGTCTGGGTCTGGGTCCGGCCTGATCCGACCCGTTGAGTTTTCAAAAAAAGGAGAAGTAACAAGAGATTACATTGGCATGTATCAAGCTGATCCGGCATTCTCGAATGATGCTCCCTTTACACTTCTTCTCAAAAAGTCTGCTGCTTTTGTTGGATTCCAGGCTTTTGTTTATTCTTTTTTTTTTTTTACCTTGGTTAGCTTTTGGAGCCTCACAATCGAAAATCAAACCAAGGTTATTTAGTCTCATTCATCAGAGGACTTAAATAAAAATGGGAAAAGTACAGGAGCTAAGGCAACAGTTTTTAGACCCTTCAATTCATTTATTGTCAATCGTGTCCTGCTGGGCATGATCCAAGGAGAAACACAATTCTACTTATTAGAGAGAGATCTTATTTTGAGAGAGTGAGAAATATAGTATTTTGTGCGAGAGAGAGATATCTTATTTGGCTTCTTCCCTTGTTGTTTGTGAAGTAGCCATCTCCTTATTGGTTTATGTGTTTGTAAGAGGTAATAGTGGATGGTTGTTATGCCTAGGGGAAGGAATCCTCTAATGGTTGGAAAGGTAATAAATAATAATATGTAGTGGTTATGCCTAGGATTTTTTATTTATTTTTGGGGATAACATTCAAAACTCTCAATAAATATTTTTAAAAAATAATATTTTTAAAGGTGAATCTTGAGTTTCTAGACACTTATCTCTGGCTGTCTAAAAAATAGGAGGATCATCTTTGTTCAATCTAAGACATTATTTTCATTTAAGTGTAATCTCAAGACTTCAATTTTTCAAGCACATGTATTGTGCATAAGATTTTATATTTGGATGGGATTTCTATGAGTCACCCAACTCACATGTACACGTGCGGCCCCCTCTACAATTCACTTAAAGATGGATTTTTTATCCAAATTTTAAAGATTCATCATCTAAGCTAAACTGCATAAATATGAAAAAAAGTAAACTTTAAAATGTGCATTTTAGAGATGTTTTTTGGCACCATCCATATCTAATTTGACCCCGTGTGCCTTAACCAACGTCCATCTTTAAGATGAACGTTAAAGGGTCAGCATGCTCTTGCACCCGCTCGCTCATGGAACACTTCTCCTTTGTATTTATTTTGTGATTGGTGGCTTGGTTGATGATGTTATGTTCCAAAATTTTTAGACAAGGTTTTACTCGATGGAGTAAATGGAAAATATGGTCCTTGAGAGCTAGGGGTGGCAATAGACCCAACCAAACCCGGGATACGACCGGTAGATCTGACCTTGGGTCCAGATATACATCCAAATTTTAGAATCAAAACGTCGGTCCTGGGTCTGGGTCAGGGTCCGGGTCCGGGTCCGGCCTGACCCCACCCATTGCAGAGATTGCATTGGGCCGTACCAAGCTGATCCAACATTCGTTGGCTCGAATGATGCTCCTTTATACTTCTTCTCAAAAAAGTGTGCTGCTTTTGTTTGATTCCAGGCTTTTGTTTATTCTTGGTGTTCCTTTTCTTTCCTTATTTATTTATTTACCTTGTTTATTTTTCAGAGCCTCACAAGGCAACGTTTTTTAGACTCCCCTTAATTCATCCATGCACATACAAATAGACTGTGAAACGTGCCTTGGTGGGCATGGGCATAATTCCACCTATTAGAGAGACAGATATATCTTATTTTGCTTCTTCCCTTGTTGTTTGTGAACTAGCCATCTGCTAATTGGATTTTGTGTTTGTAAGAGGTAATAATAGATAGTGGTTATGCCTAGGGAAAGGGATCCTCTAATGGTTGGAAGGGTAATAGGGGATGTATTGGACCCCTTTAACAGGTCTGTGACATTGAATGTGATATATAACTCTAGGGAGGTCACCAATGGATGTGAGCTCAAGCCCTCAGCTGTGGTTCATCCTCCAAGGGTTGACATTGGAGGCAGTGACATGAGGACATTTTACACTCTAGTAAGTCACCTCCACCACCATATTCCTAGAAACCCTCCTCACCTCCCCCATTTTCTCTCTCTCTTTTCCTGTGTTTTTGTGTATGTATTTTTGATGCTCTATACACAAATCTCTCTCTCTATATATATATATATATATATTATATTATATTATATTACATGGGTATGTATTTTACCTATGCTCTATGCATTTGTGCACCATCTATGTTTTCTGCATACGTGCGTGCACAATCAAGTAATTTTCTTTGGGCAAGATTTTTGGCTTGTCTCTGTATATATATATTTTTATACGTACATTAACATCTTTATTAATGTCACTCATTAATTATAACTTGATAAACAAAAACTTGCATTTACTTCTAACCTTGTTCTCACCTCACCACCGAGTGTCCAATCAAAACCATAATGTTATCTGTCAACAAGCGCATATAAATTTTCATTCAGAAGTATAGAATCCTATTTGCCATATTATTAGTCATTTAATAATGTGTGTGGTTTGCATGAGGTTGCAACTTTAAACAATCCAATTAAGGCGCACTTCTAAATTTTATCATAAATGTAATTTTGATATAAAAAATTCTTAAGATGACTTGAGAATCTATTTTCATCTCTAATTATAAAATTTTGAACTCTAAAAATAGTTCGAACCAAGTAGATCTATAAACACATGAAAATCTTGAAAATGGATGGTCTAAATAATGTGTTGTAAGATATATTATTCCGTGGACTCGAAATTTTTTTTTCTTTCCATATTCATACATCTCGATGTCAAGATGATCAATTCGAGGGTTTTTCGACATCCAAACAACCTTTTACGATGGGTTTCTTATATAAACTTTTTCCTTTAATTATTAATGGGACTCAACCTCTTAATTAAGGGAATCAAACCCTTGGTATCAACTATCCCAACTTATGCTTAGCAATGTTTGTATTACTATTATTATTATCATTATGATCATTGTTATTATCACTATCATTATCATTATCATTATCATCATCATCATTATCATCATTATTATTATCATTATCATTATCATTATCATCATCATCATCATCATCATTATTATTATTATTATTATTATTATTATTTAATAATAATATTATTATTTAATATTATTATTATTATTATTATTATTAAGAGATACGAGGATCTCTTGCAGGTTATGGTTGACCCAGATGCTCCAAGCCCAAGTGATCCTAGCCTAAGGGAATATTTGCACTGGTAAATAAATATGTTTGAAATATATGTGTGTTTTAGGGTTGAGGGTAAGTATTAGCATTGTAGTGATTGGGTTTCCATGTCCGTGCTTCAGGTTGGTTACTGATATACCAGCAACCACAGGTGCAAGTTTTGGTGAGCATTATATTCTCCCCCCCCCCCCTCCCCCCCCCCTCCCTCTCTCTCTCCATGTACAGCTCTCACTTTGCACCCTCTCTCACTTTCCATGTACGCCCATATATGTGAATGAGCATAGAGTCATGCACCTGCCTAGTGCATGATACCTTCGTTGAGTTCTTACATTCTCTATCTATCTATCTATTTTAGGGCAAGAGATCCTGTGCTACGAACACCCTCAACCGACAGTAGGGATCCACCGATTTGTGTATGTACTGTTCCGGCAGCTCGGGCGACAGACGGTCTATGCACCAAGTTGGCGTCAAAATTTCAACACTCGCGAGTTTGCAGAGCTCTACAACCTCGGCCTGCCAGTTGCCGCCGTCTACTACAACTGCCAAAGAGAGTCAGGCTCCGGCGGCCGGCGTATGAGATAGATGATGCCCCATTCTCTCTAGGAATTTATTATCTCTCATCTCCATGCATTAGAGAAATATGAGCACAAACACCTGTAATAAGTGTAAGGAGAAGCCTATTCTCTGTAGCTATGAATAAACCATACTTGATGCTTGAAGAGAGTAAGGAAACATGATGTGGTTGGTTTTGTGGTGAGGGCACAACCATGAGAATAGATTTTCTAAAGGAAAAGTATACAGACTAAGTACAAGGGGTCATACTTACTCTTGTCAGCGGTTTTAAAACGGGTGGTTATAAGTGACTAGATTTAAAGTTGAAAAAAAAAAGCTTTCAAACTACCTTACACATCCCAGCCGTCAAATTTGTCCTCTAATTACCTCAATAATGGTAGATAGTATCATAGCATACAATTCATTATCTAAAGGGTGTGGTTGGCGTAAGGTTGCAACCTTTTAACATTCAAATTAAGGTGCATCTCTAAACTTTGCCGGGTAAAATTTTTTTAGGATGGTGCGATAATCTATTTTTATCTTTAATTATATAAACTTTAAAATTGTTGAAATGAAGCGGAATCTATAAGCATATGAAAATATTGAAAATGGACTGTCCAGATAATGTGTTGCAAGATACTACTTTTAGGACTTGAAATCTCCTTTTTTTTTCTCCATATCTATACAACTTGACGTCGAGATTATCTATTAGATATTTTTCCAACATCAAAACAACCTTTTCAAGGATTTTAAAAGTGCACCTTAATTTTACATTTTAAGATGTCAACCTTATATAAATGTTTTACACAAAGGCAAATAAAATTACTATAACAAATGTACCTTGAAATGATCATCGAAGGAAACAAAGAGAGGCCGGAGGGGGGGGGGATCAAAAAATTTAAAAAACTGTTAAAAATATATCTAAAGCATGATAAAACAAAGCACATCCAAATGAAGTTGAAAAGTAGTAGAAAAATGGATTTTTAAAAAATCGATTTGTGCCCTAGGGTATTTTTAAAATTTTCTAAAAAAAGATGGAAAAAAAAGTATTCATGACAAAAAACACTTTCCAATATTTGTCAAAATGATGAGAAATATTAAAAAACACATTGCAAATAAATCCCTTATGTTTTGGGATTTTATATTTTTTTGAATTTTTTTTAAATACCACCACCAAAACCAGATCAACGAGTACCCGGTTTCGGTTTGACCAGCCGGTTCTAAGTTGGACCGGCTAAGTTTGCAAACATTGAGAGAGTGTGTGTGAAGAAACCAGATGATGTTGCTGAATCTTGGCAAAATGATAAAAAAGTATTAAGAAACACATTAAATCCCTTATGTTTTTGGATTTTATATTTTTGGATTTTTTTTAAATAACCAATTGGACCACCAAAACGGGATCAGCGAGTGCCCGGTTTCGATTTGGCCAGCCGGTTCTAAGTCGGACTGGCCGAGTTTGCAAACACTAAGAGAGAGTGAAGAAACCAGTTGATGTTGCTTAATCTTGGGCCTGGGCTATTGGGTTTGAATGTCAAAGATAATTGAGTAAATATTTTTTATTTGGGTAATTCAGTGGGCACTTGTTTTTTTTTTTTGGGTAATTTGGGGAAGACAGGCTCCTATTGTTTCTTCAAATAGTTTAGAAGTTAGTTTTTTAAAGGTATTAGGGGGGCCTTTACCCATTTTTTCAAATAGTTTAGTAGTTAGTTTTTTTAAAGTGTTTAGTGGGCCCTACCCGTTTTTTCAAATAATTTAGGTGTGAGTTTTTTCAAGGTGTTCGTCGTGTAGTGTCAGTGGAATGAAAACTACAACGAGGTGCGAAAGGTGTGGAGGTGCTACTACCATGACCCGAAATAAGCACTTTGATATGAGAAAGAGAGAACAACCTAAGAACTTCCAAAAACAGTAGCATGAAAAGGACTTGGAACCAGGTACGCAATGTATGGTATGTGACTCGGGATAAAAAGCTGTAAACTTTTTCTCTCTACAAGCTCTCTCTATTCTCTCTCTACAACTTGAATACATCTACTAATCACTTCCCATGACTATTCTTCTGGTTCTTAATGACCAGTGTGATTAATGGAAAGATGTTTGTGTGAGAGAGAGAGAGATGGCGCCCAATATGGAACATAATTGGATTTGAGAAAATCGAAACACCATTTTTGTTGTTTAAAAGTGTCATTCAATTGAAGCTAAACAATTGTCTATAAAGAGACCATTTATCTTTCGTATAAGGAGGTCACAAATTATTCCCACTCATTAGATAAATTAGATGGTTTAGGGTGAGCCATGAAGTTTGATTTATTTTTTTTTTGAAATTTTAGAGACAAGAACAATTGTGACCTCCTTGAACAAAAATAAATGATCTCTTTGCAGACAATCTTGTAAAAATTCACAATAGACAAGCAAAAGTGGTATAACCTTTGAGTGTTTGGCTAAAAATCAGATATTCAAGAATTTAGCAATCTTATATACGATATGTTCATGCCAAGAAATCAAATTCTTTTTTCCCAAACTAATCCCACAACAATAATATAAGTGTCCCAACGCTTCTGCTTGCCTTTAAAAAAAGAAGAAAAAGAGACAATTACTGCTACAACTCGTCCAACTTCTCAGGACAATGAATTCAATGGGGATACTTTGTGGGCTTTGGATAGTAATTAATTATTCTTAATGAGCTTAGATCTTGTTCAAACAAATAGAAAGCCCCTCAGGCGAGTTATTGGTAGAATTCTAAACCTGCAGGAAACAATGTACGCACAATAGTAATGGATAATTTATTGCCAATAAACTAATAAGCAAAGGCATTTCGATAAGTGCAAACAAACAAATTTGGATCTTGTCAGCTTCAAAATATATTGGAAGGATTCAATGGAAGTAAAAGGAACCATAAAACCACAAACCAGCGTTTTAAAAAACGCCAAGTCAAACCGGACTCGCCCGGTTCGACTCGGAAATCGTAAAAAGGGGATCGGATCGCCTAAAAAATCGGAAATCGTCCGGTTCTAGAGAGAACCGGACGATTCTGTACAGTGAATCGCGGATTCACTGTACGGAATCGGCGAGTCCGACAGTGAATCGGCGAGTCCGTACGGTTTTTTTTTTTTTTTTTTTTTTTTTTTTTGTTGTAATCCATGATAGATTTTTTTGTAATACTTGATCGATTTTTTTGTAATCCATGATTCGTAATTTTTTTTGTTTTTTTGTAATCCATGATTCGAATTTTTTGGTTTTTTGTAACCCATAATTAGAATTTTTTGTAATTCATGATCGTAAATGTTTTTTTCTTTTCTTGTAATCCATGATTCGTATTTTTTTGTTTTTTTTTTTTTTTTGTTTAACCCATTGATTAGTAATTTTT